GCGCGTGAGTAACCTAGTACCCTGAGCATCAGTCTTCCAACCTGTAAAATGGAAGAACTTGGTGGAACTCGGTAAGGGTTCTACAGATAACAGAGGGAAATTCAAGCAAAATGCAGAAACTTTTCGAGGCTCTGCTCATTTACTTCTTGGCTAGCCCCTCTCCAGCCATCTTCCCTCTTGAATGATAATTCCTGTGCCTCATCCTGTCAGACCCCTTACTATCCAGAAGAATCCAAGGCTTGGGACCTGCCTGATTGAATGTGTATCACTTACCTCCCCCCGAGAAGGGCCTTGCACACCATAGGTGCATATTAAATGCTTGCTGTGTTGCTTTGCAATTTGGTGTTTCAAGATTCATCCTGGACTTTTATAGGAATCTTTCCTGTGGGGCAGAAAGTGACATTCAACACTTAACCTTGGGAATACTCAGTCACATTTGGGGTTCTTCTGAGTGTACTGAGGGATTTTTGTGGATATTATCTCATTAATCCCACAAGGAGCCCGTGGTGTGAAAGCTTAAGACATTCTCAGCTTAGCCAGAGGTTCCTTAGCCAAAGGGCAAAACAGAGCCATAAGTCTATTTCTGAGGTGCAGTCCCAGGGCAGTGAGAAGCAGGAAAGGGAAGCACGGCACAGAAGGACAGTGATGCCAGACTGATGGAGCCTCTGGCTGTCCACTCTTCATGGGGAGAGGGCCGACTTTCTGGGGTGGTTCACAGGCTGCCTCGGGCACTGCAACTGGCCCAGGAAGGGAGAGAGACATATTTGTTGGCTCCTCCCTGAATCCTCTTTCTAGTTGGTCCAAGTTCATTTCATGGTGTATTAAGACCTCAGATCTCTATGTGGTGTCATCAAAGTCCTTGCAGGCCACAGCAGGCCAGAGCTGCACTCTAGGCTGCAGTGCTTCCCTCACTAGGTGGGGGAAGGGAGGGGAGCAACTGGCCCCTAGGAGTGGACCTGGGTGCTGGCACCCACACAGCTTCACTATGGTAGGCTTGCTGTGGAGGCCAGGTTGAGGACTGGCCCTTACCTTTGGGCAGGTTAAGCCAGCAATGGGCAGCAATGAAGGCTCTCTACTGAGCAGGTGGACAAGGTTGGGGGCAGGAGAAACGGAGTGGACCTGTTTGGATGCATTCCCTTCTTACATCTGAAGAAATAGAGCCTAGGAGGTGCAGAGGTCACGAGGTTGTTCAGGTGGATTCAAGTCTCAAACCTACCCCATCCACTTGACCACATCTGAGTGAGAAGAGGGTGGACGATATAATCAACTGTTTCCATGGCCATTGCCAATATCTCACCCTCCCCCACAGAAGGTATTTCAGCACTCACTCACTCGCTCACTCATTCATTAATTCACCCCCCTCACCTAATCACCCACTGAGCACCTGCTCAGCTCCTCCCTTTAACACACTTACCTGCTGACTCCAGTTGGGTCAAGCTGCAGTGGGCAAGAAAAAAATTACCTTTATTAGAAGACAGATTCCGCTGGGTGCTGGTAGCTCATGCCTGTAATCCTAGCTACTCAGGAGGCAGAGATCAGTAGGATTGCAGTTCGATGCCAGCTGGGGCAAATAGTTCTCAAGACACTATCTTGAAAATATCTAACATAAAAAGGGCTGGCGGAGTGGCTCAAGGTGCAGACCCCGAGTTGAAGCCCCAGTATTGCAAAAAAAAAAAAAAAAAAAAGGAAGAAGACAAACTTCCCCTCTCCTCGCCACCATCTGCTGCATGGTGGGGCCTCCAGTGGAAGGGATAAAGAATTTGTGTGTAGAAATTGAGGGACCTTTCCCAGGAGAGACATTTCAAGTGAGTCTTGGAGGATAAAGAGGCTTTCTGATATTTGGGCTTTGAATGAGGAGCATTCCAGGGGGTGGGCACAACCCAGGCAAATTGAGGGAAACCTGGTATGCAGGAACCTTCAAGATGCCTTCACCTTTGGAGAAATGCCTTTTGCAGCAGGAGTGCAGGAATCCTGCCAGGTTCAGTTACGAGACCTTTTGCTTTAGCTGGGTGGGGTGGTGAATACCTGTAATTCTACCATTTGGGAGCAGGAGGTAGGAGGATAGTGAGTTTGAGGCCATCCTAGGCTGCATAATGAGACCCTGACTCATAAAACCACCACCACCACCAGCAGCAGCAGCAGCACCACCACCAGCACCACCACCAGCACCACCAGCAGCACCACCACCACCAGCAGTAGCAGCACCAGCAGCAGCACCACCAGCAGCAGCAACAACAAACCCTTCTGCTTTGGTTTTCCTCCGTCCACACATTCCAGTTTCCCCAGTGTGAGTGAACACACAACCTGTGAACTGTGTTCTTCACTCAGGTAACTATGAAAAACACAGGGGGCATGCAGGTGACAGGCAGTAACACCCAAATGAATTAACAGAAACTTGCAAACAGTACTTTAAAGTATCCACCATAGGGAGTGCAATCCTCTTCAGTCAGCATTTACCTGAGTCTGTGCATCAAGGACAATCTCAATGTCCTCTCTGTTGATTTATGTACCATACATGGCCAATGAAATTACCCTGAAATTCCCCCCAAAAGCCAGTGACATTTATAGAAATTACAGAGGACTCCTCTGTGTGCGCACATGCTCTCTGGCCCTCTGAACACCAGTCCCCAGGGCAGTCCTCTTTTCCAGGCTGGTGTCCCACCCAGCAGAAGTACTGAGTTGGGCTGGTGACGTAGCTCAGTGGTAGAGTGCTTGTCTAGCATGGTGAGGTCCTAGATTCCCTCCCCAGCACTCCAAAGTGGGGCTTGAAGAAAGAACTAAGTAGGGCAGACGCTTTCCTGAATCCAGAAGTCGGGGGGAGCCCGAGTTTTCTCCCTCCTGAAGGACAACACGTAAGTCATTTGTGGCAAATACCCTATACAGGCTTTAACGACGTTGGAGTCTTCACCAGGGAAAACAAAACAAAACAAAACAACGAAATTCCACTCATTTCTTCCGAGGATAGAAGAGATGTGTGTGGTGTCCGCATTTATCAAAGCGGGCATTTGCCGATTGCGTGTGCCTGGGTACTTTTTTGGGTTTGGTAGGAATATGAAGTTATGAGTTATCAGCTGAAACATTTACCCTGAAGTAGGATTGCACCCTTTTTCTCCCCCGCACCTTTCAAGCGTACCGGGGTGCTACAGGCAGGGCACAAAGCATTCCGACATTAATTGATGAGGACAGTAACTCCGCGGCGGCAATATTGACTCGGAACCATTAACCTCTTGGCTGTGGAGCTGGGAGTTTTGAAATGCGACCTCCGCAGCTGTAGTTATAATTGTTTTATGTCACATTGACCGGGCATATTTATGAGTTTTAACAACTGTCTTAAAAAGTCCAGTGACATCTGTTGAGAGTTTAATTGTGAGTGTAAAACAAAATCGTTAAAGGCACAGTCAAGAGATCAATTTTCATACTGTTTAAATAACACGGTGGCCATCAGGCGGTGGGGGAATTTGGCGACATGACTAATTTAGTCTCTCAAGTTGCAGCGCTCCGGCGCAGAACCCGAGGCATGGAAGATACTTTAAATGAAATAGGAGAGGGAGGCGGAGGAGAGAAAGAGGGAGAGGGGGAAAAGAAGGTGCAGCGACAGCCAGGAAAGAAGAAATGGACACCTGGGTATTTTCCCTTCCATCGGGAAGTATCACTATCCCCGGAGTTAGGCAGGGCGCCTCCGCAGAGGGGGATGGGCGCGCCCGGTTCTCCTTGGGTTCGGCTGGGGACAGAGAGGAGGAGTTCGCGGACGCCCCACTCTGAGCTGCCCTTCCGAGCGGTTCTGGCGGCGGGTGGCCCCAAGCCGCCGGCCGGCGAGTTCGCACCCCTCTCCGCGGTCACTTTTGTTCTCCGCTCGGGGCGCCGGGCTGCGGCGGGGCGACAGTGCGCACGCGCGGGCGGGGCGGGGCGGGGCGGGCGGGCGGAGGGCCCGGGCACCGCCCCCTGCCGCCCCGGCCCGCTCCATCCGGGCACTACCGAATTAGCATCGTGCCGAGGCACAACTTTGCCGAGGCCCAGCGAGATCCAGGCGCGCGCGCCGGAGGAAATATAGTCCCTGCCGGCGGGCAGCTGGCGCGGGCGGCGGTGGCCGCGGCGGCGGGGCGCGCGCGCGGGGCTCCGCGGGGCTCCCGGCGCCGGGGGGCCATGCGCTCGGCCGCGCTGGCAACCCGGGGATCCGGAGCAACTTATCAGGTAGACTGAGGAGTTGGGGTGGCCGCGGGCTCGGCGCCGCGTCTCTAGGTCGCCTTTCTTCCCCTTCGCCAGCCTTCCTTCTTTTCGGCTGTGGAGGAGGGGGATCGTGTTGTCCCCCTTCCCGGAGGCCCGGTCCACCCCTGCCCGTTCCGGTCCCCGCCGAGCCACACAACTTCTCCAGAGCCCGGGCTAAAGTGAGCGCAAAGTGCTGCCCAAGTTGCCGGGATGGAGCTACAGAGCCGGCCCGAGGCGCTCGCTGTGGAACTCGCGCACCACCAGGTAGGTGGCTGGGGGGTCCCTGGCCAGGGAAGGGGAATGGGCTGGGGAGTGGGAGCGCGAGAGACCCGAGCCTTAAATCCTCTCTCCCTGGTCGCAGAATTCCTTTGGCTAGGGTACCGGGAGCTGGCCACCTCCTAGAGCCTGCCCCGGGACTGGGGAAGTATGCACAGCACGGCCCTCCCTGGGCCCCCTCCTCCTCCCACGAGTCCCGCACTGTTTGGAGTGTGGGCTCGTGGGACCCGGCCCTGGCGTCTTCTCTTGATCGCCGCAGGGTCTGCACTCCGGGTGCCCGGAGGGCGCCCCTTCCTAGAGACTGCCCGGAGGCGGATGGCGGGGAGCGTGGACGGTCCCCTCCTAACCTCCTCCTCCTGCCTTACCTCGGCGCAATCCTGCACTGGTCGCAAAAGTAGTTTTGGCGATTGTTGCTGGGGAGAGCGGCGGCGTGGCGGCCGGAGCCCGAGCGGTATTGCGGCGTGCGCGCGTGTGTGTGTTGGGGAGATTAGGACGCGACTTGAATATTTATGAGCTTTGCTCGACACGGACTCGTCGTGTTTACTTGGCTCTTTGTTCCTCCCCCCTCCCCCGGCACACACTCACACTCAATCGCACACGCACCCTGGCCTGCAAACTTGCACGGCTGGGGCGCGCCGCCGGGTGGCCTCGGCCCCCGCCCCGCCCCGCGAGCTGCCCCGATGAGGCGGCAGCCACAGGTAAGCGGCCCCTCGCGGCACTGCCCGGTCGCCTCGAGTGCGGGATGCGGCCCGGGAAACTTGGGGCGTGCTGCGGCCGGCCTGGCCCGCGGGGCACCGGGCGGGGTGCGCGGTCCATGGGGCTCTGGATCGCACCTGACTCCCCGGGCGGCCGGCCTGAGCCCACTCCTCCGTGTTTCCGCAGAACGGCGACCTCAAGAAGCAGCTACACGAAAGGCAGCCGCGGATCGCAGCGCTCAGCGACAAACAAGTAAGCAAGGGGACCTGTCCCCCACTCTAGGCGAAGGGCCAGGGAGGATCTCTGGGCACTTTGGCAGCACCCTAAAGTGCCAGCGTGAGTGTCACACGCACAGATTCCCACAGGGGTCTGGCTCCAATCCTCAAAGTTACCCCCTCCCCCCTTTCAGGAAAGAAAGGGCCGCTTCGTGGCGGTGGAGGGGGGAAGAGCGAGGCCCCGGCAGTGACCAAAAGAGACGAACTACACCTCAAAGGCGCTGGCAGCCCGGCGTCCATTTTGAGTTGGTGGACATGTTTTTGGAACATGGAAATTCCCCCGGCTCGGTGCCCCCACTCCACGCTGGAGTGGGATTGGGGGCGCAGCAATTCGAGCCTACACCCCAAACTACTTGGAAGCAATATCTGGGTTCAACTGCAAACCTCGTTTTTAACATCCTTCCTCTGGCCGCCCCCTCCCCTCCCCACTTCGCCGGCTTCACTTTTTATTCTTGGAACCTGACGCCAGATCCTGGGGAACAAAAGAAAGGCGCCCCCGGGACCCCTCGGTTCTGCCCCAACTTTGGTCATTGGGCCTTAGGGGTAGGTGGGGACCCACGAGAAGCTCCTGTGGCGGGGGGTGCGGCCGCCGACCCCCTCACGGCCCCCTCCGGGGAGGAAAAGTTGTCCATTGTGACTTAGTTACGCTGAGCTCAGCGCTCCGGGTTTCAGCACCACGAACAGATGCCGCCGCCGGAGCTCCGCCGGCCGTGCGCCCCCGCCCCCCGCACGTTCCTCCTCCCCCCGCCCCCCGCGCGGCGCCCCCGCCCCCTCCCCGCTGCCGAGCCGAGAACTTTGAGCAGCGCAGCCAATGGCGCGCCCGGGGCTCCGAGGCGGTGGGGGCAGCGCCCCCTCCTCTGCCCCCTCCCCCTCCTCCCGCCCGCGCCGCCGCGCCCCCTGGCATCGATCGCGCTTCCTTCGGAATGCCGGCGCCACCGCCAGCACCAAACTTGGACAGCTCCGCCCCCCCCCGCCCCTCCGCGGGGCTCCCCTCCCCCACTCCGGCCTGACCGCCCCCTCGGACGCCCCCTCCCGGGGCGGGATTTTCGGTGGGGGGAAGAGACGTGGACGAGGTTGGCGGGGTGCCGGCAGCCCTGGAGAGGGAGAAGTCGGAGGCCGGGTGCTCCGTTCGAGTCTTTAAAGTTGAAAAGTGGTGGGAGGGGGGCATGCGGGAGAGGAGGGGGCCGGAAAGAAAGATGGCTGTTCCAGCGTCCATGCCTGGTCGGGGGCGCCCGGCTGGACGGCAGGGTTCGGACGAATGCATTAACCCCTTTCTGTCGGTGCCGCGGCCCCCCACCCCCTGGCTGCGCGCCCCCTTCCAGGAGTGGAAGCTTCCATTCCCACTGGAGGGGGGCTGGCGCTCGGCCCCGGCGAAGTCGGGGAGTTCGCGGGAGGGGGGTGGGGGGGAGGGGACCCAGGCCCGGCATTACCATTTTGATTGCTTCGATGCCATTTTTGGAGGGGGAGGGGTTGGAAGACCCTTCTCTACAGAGCACAAAGATGTTTAATCACTGTGTAGAATCAAATCAGATACTTTCTTTTTTAAAAAAATATATCCACCACCAAATCTGGTACAGTGTGATAGCTGGGGTTACTGAGCTGTTTTTTCCACTGGGTGAAACGGTAAGTTGTTGACTCTTACGCTCAGAGTAGATTTAAAAGAGCGGAAAAAAGCCAATAACCCAACAGCTTTCACTGCAACAATGTCTCTTTATGTGTGCGCTACGTGGCAATAGTTTTACTATTTGGAGTGGCTGCTCAGAGCTTCGGTTTGATCATTTCTTCTGTATTGTGGCAAGTGTTTCAGGGCTGTTTAAATTTTTATGTTGATAGTAAATGAGTAGCTATTTATTATCCAACATGCTGGAATTTAGATAAGGCTGAAAGGAACATTGGAAAATCCTGTTTGAAGGTGGTGCTGCTGGGAGAAGGAGCTCTCCTACTCCAGGCTGCCTTTGCCTTTAAATTTGAACTCGGGAAGGATGCCTGCGAAAGAACGTACCTCCATCTTTTTCTGTGTGAGTGCTTGGAAAGAAAGAAAGGAAACAAGAAAACTTTTGTTTCCTGGCCTTTTAAAAATGTTTCTCTTTTAGATGACTAAAAATAACATCTGGTACGCAGCCAAGGGTTTGGCCTGGCCATCAGAACTTGTGTTTGTAACTGCAAGCGTGTTGCTTTTCCGTTTCCCTTTGTGGCATTTTATGTAACAAGGGCTCATAAAGGGAGGGGAGGGGGCTGAGGCCGGGTTCAGCATGCTAATCAAGCCGCCTGTCTCGCAGTGGACATCTTTGAGAGCTCACCTACGCAGTGATTTGAGTGGGCCTACGTTTGTTCCTTTCCCTCTGCTTGGGAGACTGTGGTGGTAATTGTCTGCTTGACCGGAAAAGGTCAATGAACAAGCGTGGAGGTGACTCTGGACTGAGCCAGGGCTTTAAGAGGCTCAGCTTGGACACCCCAAAACTTGCCTGGGAAGAACTACAGAGTGGGAGTGGGGGGTGAAAAGCTTGTTATCAGAGTTATTTTAACTCAACAAAGATTAAAGATAGGGTTCCTTTATAGAGTTACTTGGGAAGGGGTGGGGAGGGGTCTTAACCATCGCTACCTCCAGAAATGTTTTTCTGTGCTGCCCCTGCTTGGAATATCAAACATAAAGGTTAAATTTCAATTAAAGGTGCACAGACGGATGACGTGAGGAACTAGATAGTAAAACGAAGGATGACCCCATTACCGGCCTCCGCTAGAGGTACAATAGCAGTCTAGTAATGTCTTCCCATCCAGCCGTCAATTTCCCATTCACCGCTCTCTTGGTACTGGAATTTTTTCCAGTTACCTTTAGAAATGGTGACAGGTTTAAAGGACTCGTAGAAGTTGATAGCTTGTTGGTCAGAAATAGGTTAATTCTCTGTCCGGCTCTTCTCCCACCACTGGAGTCTAAGGATTAAACAAAATCATATACCGTAGGACCTTGGTTTTTGCAAAGGGAATTCATACATTCCCCCCACCTTCGGGGGAGAAAGAAAGGTGTGGGGGAAGCTGGGCAGGTGGACCAGGCCACACTCCTGGTATGACTGCACCTCGGTGCTGGGTTCTGAGTTTGGGGGCAGACGGACCCCTCTTCTTTAACAAGGTGTGACGTGTGAAGACTCCATTAGCTGCTCCAGCGGCTTTGCACCATGAATTTCCAGCACATGGAGAGGCAGTAACGTTTTTATCTAAATTGTCAAGCAACAAGCACTTCTATATGAATAACAGACCCATCATAAATTCTGAAGGCTCAGTCTCTCCCCTTTGGAGTTCCCAGGGCAGTGTTTAGATGCCACATGGAGTAGCATCTCCTGACTTCTTGCAGTCCAGCTCAGCCAGAGTTAGAAGAGCCTTCTGTTTGAACTCTAGCCCATGTTGGTGTGGACTGGCCAGAGAGACCCTGGAGGTGAACTTGGGGCCATGGGCACCACCCAAGCCATCGATTTAATGGACTCTGATTCTGAGGGGGCTGTCCTTAAGCGCAGTAATGAAAATCTGTCTTCTTGAAAGTATTATGTATGTGGCGTTCACCCTGACGCTGAATCGTGTCTCGGTGTCATTCACTACCCATATCAAACACCAGAGGGATTCTGCCTAGACGTCTCCACCAAGTGGAGCTGTGCGGTGGGTTTGGTTTATTCCAAGAGCATCCCTCCCTCACCCCCAAGATTGTCATCCCTTGATCAAAGGACATTCTAAGCTCTCTTTCTGAGTTTACTTTCCTCCTGGAAGGTAAATTTTACTCTTCCTACCAGTACTCTAGTGCCGTTTTTGTTCTTGAAACAGTGTTGTTACACACTAAAGAGAAAATGCCAACTTGAAAAGCTCCATGTTTCACACTTCAAGGAGTTTAGACTTGGACGGCAGGACCCTGCTGCAAGTGCCCCTGACCTGCACCTCCACTGGAGCCCTTCTCCTCGGCCTCACTTTCCTCTACCCTCCTACCACCCAGGACCTGCCCAGTGCTGTCCTAACCTAGAAAAGTGCGGAAGTGGAACTTCCTCTCGGCATCCACTTCACAAACAGAGCCAGCCTTATTGAGCTAGAATTCACATGTCCCCTGCACTGCTGAAAGTGCCCTGTGATAGGTTCCTGAAAATCACAGGTCTGGGCCGTTGCCACTGTGCGTTTTTGAGCATGTTTGCCACCTTGAAGCTGCTCTGCTGTCTCTGTGTTCCCAGCCCTAAGCCATGCTACCTCTTTCTCTCTAGAGCCACCTGTTCTGGACCTTCATAGGAATGGAGTCATAGCTACATATTTGTATCCTTTTGTGCTTGGCTCCTTTCATTCCTCACCTATAGTGGGCATCATCACTTTGTTCCTTCTATGTCTGAATGATGCTTGTGTGGCTGGAATGTATTTTGTTGACAGACACTTGGGTGGTTTCCATCTTTCAGTTCTTACGAGTAGTGTATTGAGTCTCTCCTGCCCCTTCTGGTATGTTCTTCATTAGAGGGAATGTCTTCAAATCACACCGAAATCACAGTGCTCCCCAGATGACAACCCCCTTCCCAGTGGGAAGTCTGTGGGTTCCCAGTACTCTGGGGCTAGAACCCAAGGACCCTGCCTGCTGCTTATCCTCTGCTGAAGGTGGGGGGCTCCACTTTACTCTTGCACTTGGCCATGCAGCCCCTTGATTGCTTTTTAACAACTTCCCTGACATCCCAAGCATATCCCAGCCTCTGGGGAGTGCTGGGCTTCTGATGTCTCAGTAAGTAGTTCTCTCACTTTGCTGAACTGTAAGCCCCATGGAGGGTTCCACCCGATTCCCCCTTCCCTACACTCTCAGAGCAGTGGGGAGGTGTGAGGATTTATTTGCACTGGTAATCTTATGGTCTCAGGGGGCTCTATTTGTAGTGAGCACCTAATGACATTTAAAATTCATGTGTTTGAAATAAGTGACCCCAAGAAGAGCAGGACCAGCTCCCTGTCTTTGTGTACCTGATGAAAGGG